CTGCTGCGGGTGCTGAGCCTGGGGGTGCTGACTCTAGGGGTGCTGTGCGTGAGGGTGCTGAGCCTGGGGGTGCTGAGTCTGGGGGTGCAACGACTGGGGGTGCTAAGCCCGGGGGTGCTACGCCTAGGGGTGCTGAGCATGGGGGTATTGCGACTGGGGGTGCTATGACTGGGGGAGCTGAGCCTGAGGGTGCTACGTTAGGAGCTGCTGAGCCTGGGGGTGCTGCTTGTGGAGCTACTGAGACTGGAGGTGCGGAGCCTGCGGCTGCTGGACCTCCCCTTGTGGCGTCTGGCGGTGCTGGGCCAGGAGGTCTTCTGGTACTGCTGCGGGTGCTGCTGGTGCTGCTAGAGGTCCTGCAGCTGGAGGTGCTGTTGGCGCTGGTGCTGCCGTTGAGGGTACTGGTGCTGTCCCCGCTGTTTCAGTAGCTACCGCGTGGCCTCGGCCGTACTTTGTTCCGCTCCTTCGGCAAGTTCTTGGTACTTCTTCTCTTATAGAGTGTCCGCCGCTTGTCCGGTCTGTGTCACAGTTACCGCCCGCCTCCCCACTGCCTGCTCCCTCTCCTTACACTGGTCCTACTAGAGGTCTTGCTGAGCGTCTTGAGCCTGCATGTGGTCCCACGTTGCCTGTTCGTGCTGCTGGCGCTAGTGGTCGCGGTTCGCGTCAGCGTCCTCCTCCTGTCCCTAGCACACACCGAATGTCTCTGCGTCCGTCCACTGCTCCTCTGTGTGCCCCTTTGCCTTCTCCTCCTGAGTCCTCTCTTCCTGCGCTTGCCGACCCGGAGTCGGAATCTCTTCGTGCTGCCAGTCCTACTGTCACGCGTCTCCTTGCTACTCTCGTCACTGACCCCTCTTTTGAGTCCACTGCTGCGTCTGCTCTTGTTGCTGAGCTTGTTGACTTTGCTGCTCGCTGTCGTCTAAACTACGCTACTAGTCTCGTTGCTGAGTCTGCGTGTTTCTGTCCTCCGTTCGTCGAGGGTGAGTGTGCTCTTGGCACGCACGTCCTTGAGGACAGGCAGGAGGAGTTACAGTGTCTGGCTGCTGCTTCACCTCATCTCGCGTCCGTACTGCTTGCCCCTAAGGGAGACCCGGATGCACTTGACATCCCGACTCCGCGCTCTTACGCGGAGGCCATAGAGGGTCCCTACTCGTCTCAGTGGCAGGCAGCTATGGATGCAGAGATGGCTTCCTGGATGTCCACACGCACCTACGTTGACGCGGTTCCCCCTCCTGGGGCGAACATCGTCAGTGGCATGTGGATCTTCAGGGTGAAGCGGCCGTCGGGCTCTCCACCTGTCTTCAAGGTGCAGTACGTGGCTCGTGGCTTCAGTCAGCGGCAGGGAGTTGACTACTTTCATACCTTCTCTCCCACCCCAAAAATGACCACTCTTCGGGTGCTGCTACACATAGCCGCGCAACGTGACTACGAGCTTCACTCCCTTGACTTCAGCATTGCTTTCCTGCAGGGTAGCCTACACGAGGAGATCTGGCTGCGCCGTCCACCTGGCTTCACTGGGACTTTCCCTCCTGGCACCCAGTGGAGCCTCCGACGGCCAGTCTACAGTCTCCGCTAGGCACCGCGCGAGTGGCACGACACACTGAGGACAACGCTTACGGCTCTTGGGTTTGCTTCCTCCACTGCTGATCCGTCATTGTTTCTGCGCACCAACACCTCTCTGCCGCCATTCTACATCTTCGTGTACGTCGACGACTTGGTCTTTGCCAGTGCTGACACTGCTGGACTCGCCCACGTGAAGTCCGAGCTGCAGAAGCGACACACGTGCACAGACCTGGGTGAACTGCGCAGCTACCTTGGCTTTTAGATCACCCGGGACAGAGCACGCCGCACCATTACCCTGACTCAGTCACACATGGTGCAGCAGGTCCTTCAGCGCTTCGGCTTCACGTACTCCTCGCCTCAGGCCACTCCTCTGTCTACTCGCCACTCGCTCTCAGCTCTGCCTTCGGATGAGTCCGTAGAGTCGAGTGGCCCGTACCCAGAGCTTGTTGGCTACCTCATGTACTTGATGATCTGCACACGGCCTGACCTTGCATACCCTCTTAGCATTCTTGCACGCTATGTTGCTCCTGGGAGACACCGACTAGAGCACATGGCTGCAGCGAAGAGGGTGTTGCGCTACTTGTGCAGTACGTCGGGCATGGGGCTAGTGCTTGGAGGGCGGAGTCCAGTGGTCCTCACTGGGCACGCGGACGCTTCTTGGGCTGACGACCAGGCTACTCAGCGGTTGTCTAAGGGTTACACCTTCAATCTTGGTTCTGGCTCTGTTTCGTGGCGGGCTACTCGCTCGTCTTCTGTTCTCGGCTCCAGTTGTGAGGTTGAGATCTACGCCGGGGCCATGGTTGCACAGGAGCTTCGCTGGCTCACCTACCTGCTGACCGACTTTGGAGAGCCGCCTCGTTCTCCTCCAGTGCTGTACGTAGACATCAAGGCCATGCTGGCCTTGTGTCGGGAGCAGCAATTGGAGCACAGAACGAAGCACATTGCTCTCCATTACTTTCTTGCTCGTGAGCTGCAGCAGCGTGGTCAGTTGCGACTTGCGTACGTGGCCTCTGAGGCCAACACTGCTGATGTTTTCACCAAGGCACTTCCGCCTTGTGATCATCGGCGCTTCTGCACTCAGCTGGGACTTGTACCTGTCTTGCCTCACTCGCTCACCTCTTGACCTTGCTTGTACTCTTATATATATATATATATATATAGATAGATAGATATATACCTGCTCTTGCTTGTTTAGCCTTATATATCTATGTGTACTCCTGCATGTGAACTGTCCTTCTGGCCTTGACCTTGTGCTCGGACTATGTGGTGACGTTGTGATCCACCCTGAGCTTTGCTTTGCTTTGCTTGACTGGTCTTGTGACCCCTTGTTCTCCCCCACTTTGCCTATGGGGGTGTGTCAAGTTATAATATTGTGTAGGCTATAGTGGGGTAGCCCATATGGGGTACACATTTCTAGGGTTGCATATTTGTATCACTTCATTCCTTAGTCAATCCATTCTCGTTCTACTTTCCTCACCTCGTACCAGTCCACGTCGTACTGGAGCAGAGAGCATCGCATCAGATGCTCGAGGGTGGTGTCAGAGAGGGCGCCACGCTCCCACGACTTGATCAGATTCTGCTTGCTAAATCCCCTCTCGCACTTCACCGTGCTGAGTGGTAGCACGGCAACAGCCTGCCACATCCGCATCAGGTTGGGGAAGGAGTGCTGCCATGCGTCATCCTGAAGCATGTTCCCCAGCGCCTGGTGGAAGTCCTCGTCGTTGTGCTGTGAAAACATGGTAGACGTGAACATCCACAACTCGCTCTGTGCCCTGGTGTAGTCAAATCCTGATGATTGGGAGTGGGAATTACGCAGGGTATACTTGCAGCAGGCGGGAGGGAGGGGAAATCTTAAACCAAACAACCAACAAGGCGCAGGCATGAGTGCACGAAGATACTATACATCAACGCGCATGCGTTCATGTACCCAACAACCACGCTCGCACACAAACCGAACACATACATACCTGGCAGTTTGTTGTTGAACAGTTTGTGTAGTTGAGCCAGCCACTTTCTGAAGGTCTCCACACGCTTTGTATCGTCTGAGACGTACGATGCTGAGGGAAACAACTTCGACCCCTCCAGATGCGCCAAGTCCCTCATGGGCCACTCCAGCTCCTTATCGATTTCACGCACGAACTTCAACGATAGCTCGTAGCACGCCTCAACGTCACCGGCCGTCTCGTGCCCTTTGATTTTCCTCTCGTGCAGCTTGTACTCGAAGGTCACGGGGTTGCCATCACTGTCTACGCCCTCAGCCTTCACCTCCTCCTTGTCCATCTTCTGGTGGCGCTGAATGAAGTCATTGAGGGTCATCTTTTCCCCGCTGCCGAAGTGCTGAGATGGGGAACCGTTCTAATAACGGTTCTTCAGGCGCCATCGTGTTTGCTGCACCAGGTGCGCCACCAGAGTGATGTCGATCTGCAGAGTGAAAACAAGTGACATGGTAAGCGACATGTATAATCGAAACACGTTGGATAAGGAACACAACAGAACAGGTATGTGCCAACCGTACCTGCCTTTGCTGGAACCGCTGATTCAGAAAATTTAGCTCCCAAAGCACATCAGCAAGCAGGCAAAGCATCCAATGGAATTTGAATGAAGTGGCAACCTCGTACAGATCGGCGTTGTACTCCTTCAGCACCACAATGACCGCAGGTAGGATTTCGAGGAGGCGTCTAAGTGCTTCTCCGCGTGACAGCCATCGAACTTCATGAATGCCTTGAGCCTCGAGGTTGGTCTTGCAGAACACCTGCTGGATGTTGTGAAACTTGTCGTACCTCACGTTGGAACGGCCGATGAGGTCAGCGAAGCCACAGACGACACTGTCCACCATAAAGAGTTCGGGAACTGCTTCCGCGGCATTTTTTGCAGCCAGAGCCTCCCTGCAAGTGTGAACAATGAAGCAGCGTGAGAACGATGGTGGATAACAGAAACGAACATTACTAGCTTTACGTCAGGTAAGAACCTGCCGATGTGCGACGCAGTGCGTTGAGGCAAGATGAGGAATCCGCATGCGCAGACAAGCGACAACACCAGTGTGCTTCCCCATCATGACATTCGCACCGTTCGTAGATACGGACGACATCTTCTGAAGATCCAGTCCAATCCCTGTCAGGTACTGCACCACAGCAGAAGTCAAAGAAGCGGCGTCAGCACGGTCAACAGTTATCAACGTCAAAAACTCGGTCACCACTGCGATCCCTCGGAAAAAAGGTGGCGTAGAGGATGAGGTGTTTCCCGTTGACGCGATCATTGCTTTCGTCGAGGGAAAGACCAATCCAGGGCAACTCCAGTAGATGCAACCGCTGCACTTCCTGGAGGTAAGCTGAGATTGCCCTGAGGTTTTCTCTGAAGCCGTATATGCAGACCACATGAACAAAACACATCCGTGAGAACGCGATTGGCGCACAATGCAAGCCACACTTCTAACAAACACGGGCTTACTCTGTGTAGTAGGCGTCGTAACCACCACTATTGGGGAGGTCGGGAAGACCTTCCTTCGCCAAGAGCCAGCAGAGCGGGATGAACATCGCGATTGGCGCATCCGCCTTGCAGACAAAGACAGCGATGTGCAGAACGCGAATGATGTGCCTCGTCGACGCGTCGGTTGCCTGCCAGTGGGTGATGCTCACTTGTTTCGCCTTGTTTGCTTCCGCTTCTGCTTGGGCTTTCAACGCATTCTCGTGGGCTCTCGTCGCGAAATGGGCCCGGGCGCTACCAATCTGGTGGTCGCGCCCACCCTCGCCCTTCGCACCGTAGCTAGTGTGAGCGGTGGGGTCTCCATGCTGCACGGAGATGTCGCACTTCAACTTGGCAAGACCGTTAGGCAACCGAATGAGACGTAACCACTTAAATTTATTCCGCCACTCAGACTCATATCGACGCTTTATCGTGTCATACATAACATCACCGGTTGTTTTTGGCGGTGCTTCATCTTCAGGATCAGCATCACGTCGCGGAGAGGCAACCCTCCCAGGAGGAGGAGCTCCCCAGAGGCGCTGCTGCTTGTACTTCACAGCGACCCACGGGCGTTTGACCGACGTGCTGTTCACAGTAGACGGTGAATCCGCCGGTGGCCTGGACGACCCTTCCCCACCGCCAGGCACAAGAACGACTGATGGGTGCGGCTCCCAGTCAGCCGACGTGGATGGCGGCTCGAATGGGAAGACGGTGCCTACACTGTGCACTAGAGAAGAGGGACATGGCAGTGGTGAAATCGGCACGCTGTAGGACTCAGGCAGGCGGGGAAGAACACCCAGCACAGATAGGCCATTGCGCACTATAGCAGGCGGTTCTTGAGAATGCTCGGCAGGTGATGTTATGTATGACATGGGGCATGGGCTGGAACCTCAATGGTGTTCCCTCACGGTAAGAATGAGTAGGAGGAACAAGATGGGGTGTCCTTGGGAGCACACAAAGCCCCACCACCACCTGTGATGGCTTGGAAGACCCCGGAGCGCGGCTCATGCATGGCTCACGGTGCTTCCTCTTGCCTGCCATGATGTGCCCTGGACAGCACGAAACACATGATGCGCTGTCAGCATGGCTGCCACTTCCACCAATGTGGTGGTTACGCGGCACGTCGCGGGAAAAGTCCTCGGGACTGCACCTGTGGTTGATGTCATCTTATGTGGTTGTTGGTCCTGCTGTCCTTTACGCAACATGTTCATAGTCGGATATCCTCGGTTCCGAGAAACTCAGTATCAGCGTAACTGAAACTGTACCCTGAACACTCGGGGTAAAAAATCCATCACACTGTTTTACAAAGGGGGGAAAAAAAACTACACTTTCTGGCCTAGGGTAAAAATCCTAATACCCCGTCTGGGAAATGGTAACTCAAAAAAAGCGGCCGCCAGTCAGTGCAAAAAGGGTATTTTACCCTGATAACGAGAGCCCTGCCAAGACCGCTCGCGTGGCCACAGCCATAGTCCCGCAACCTGTACCCGTACCACATGCATTTTGCCTGCCTGGCGGTGACACACAGCACCACACAGGTGTGCATCGTCCAGGAGAGTCCTGCTTGGTCCCTTCCTCCCTCCCCACCAGACCCCCACCCACCGACCAGCCGCTCTCACCCAACCCCAACCCAGTCAGTTCATTTTAAACATCCAGTTTTCCTCCTCGTGGTCTCGTCTAGGGTTTGCAGACCACACCTTTCTGCTGCTATTATAAGCATAGCTCCAGCATCTACCTCCAAGTCCCTCGTCATAGCTGTTGTCACCAGCGGTGAGGATGACGACGAGGCTCGTCGTCAGGTCCTGCACTCACCCTCATGAAAGGGCCTTCACTTTTTAACAGTGCCTTCTAAGCGACTGCTTGAACCAGAGCCCGTTGTTGCCTCTACTGAGGCTGAGACCGCGCTGGCTGAAGCGGGGCGTGACATGCACCACGACGCCTGAACTGACACCATGAAAAAGCACAACACATGTAATGGAGAATACCGCTGCTGCTCACAACTGTGCTGCCAAGAAGCTGAAATCTGGTTCGTGTTTGGCACGGCAGAAGTGGCGGCAGCAACCTAAGTCGAGTTTCACTCGCGGGGCTCATGCATACGGTAGCAATGTTCAATGCTGGCAAGAAGCGCCGCCCTGCTCAAGAGTTCCTATCCCGAATTACTTGTGCTCACTGCTAAGCTTATTCTGTTAGAACCAGGCACTGGTGCTTTAGTTGCTCTGTTAGTTAGTGCCATCTTTAATATGAAATCCACGCTTAAGTCTAAACATGAAAGGGTGAAAACAATGTGCACACTGATGAGCGAGTACCTTTCCAGCTGACACTGATAAAAAAGACTGACATGGCTGACCCACCCTTACTGAAAGACCAACTTCAGCGAACTGGCCTTGCGAGTAAGTGCCCCAAATCCTATCCAGAGGCCTGGTAGGAACGCCAAGCAGACAGTATGGCACAAGACACCAGTCAACCAAAGCAAGACGCGTCACGCCCAGTCAACGGGCGATTTGAGCACCTTGACCAGCTCCTCCTCTGGCGAGCCTGGCTGCGGCTGCACGTTGTAGCGCCACGCGATCAGCGGTGGAGCTGCACTCGTGCACGGTGCCATGGGAGGAGTGGGGGGAAAGGACGGACAATGACGGAAGGTGAGGGGATGGAGGATGGGGGATAGGTAAGAAAAACGAGATTCGTGGAGGCTAGACTCAGGTGGGTGGGAAGGAATTGCAATGAGCAGAAGTCAACCCACACGAGGTGGTAGAAGAAGAAAACGACTATCATCGGTCTCCATCAGAGGAGTGTGCACGCGTGAACGAATGAGAGCATGGCAGCAGCACCTGCTCACCTGTGCTGTGCACTCAACGCAACCCCAATGCTCTGCTCTGCGCACCTGCAGGTTGACTCGCCATTCCCCTGTGTGAAGCTCATCAGTCAGCACAACCCATTTCCCATCCCAACCCCAACCATCACCAACTACCTCCAACGCCCTCCCCTCGCACGCCTCTCACTTCACCATCCACCCACGCCGCTGACCTCACACCAGGATGCCCTCCACCCCCGCCGCTGACCTCACACCAGGATGCCCTCCACCCCCGCCGCTCACCTCACACCAGGATGCCCTCCACCCCCGCCGCTGACCTCACACCAGGATGCCCTCCACCCCCGCCGCTCACCTCACACCAGGATGCCCTCCACCCCCGCCGCTCACCTCACACCAGGATGCCCTCCACCCCCGCCGCTCACCTCACACCAGGATGCCCTCCACCCCCGCCGCTCACCTCACACCAGGATGCCCTCCACCCCCGCCGCTCACCTCACACCAGGATGCCCTCCACCCCCGCCGCTCACCTCACACCAGGATGCCCTCCACCCTCCCACCTCCTCTCCTCGCCCATCACGCACGTCCCCCCTGCCCGGCGCTCACCGGACACCATGATGGACTCCACGCGCCCGTGGCCATCCATGCCGAACTTCACCCCGCGGTCGTACAGCAGGTTGAACTCCAGGTACCGCCCCCGCCGCTCCAGCTGCCACTGCCGCTGCGCCTCAGTAAACGCCAAGCCACGCCGCCTGTCCACGATGGGCCAGAAGCTGTCCATGAAGCCCCGCGCCACGTCCACCGTGAAGCGATGCGCCCGTTCAAAGCCCTCCTCGCCCGCGCCAGCAGCAGTAGCGGGTGCGGGAGCGGCAGAGGGGCTGAGGGCGAGGGGGGCGTGGGGTGGGGGGATGCGGTCGAGGTCGTCGAAGAAGATGCCGCCCACCCCGCGGTGCTCCGCGCGCGCCGGCAGGTAGAAGTACCCGTCGCACTGCGCCTTGGCCGCCGCGTACAGCGCCGGGTGGTAGCGGTCGCAGATGGCGCGGTAGAACGCGTGGAATTCCCTGATGTCCGCCGGGAAGAGGTCTGGCGAGGGGGGTGCGGAGGGGTGAGGCGGGGTGAGGATGAATGAGGAGGGAGCTATGGGGGAGTGAGACCTGGGTGGCAGCAGTGGCCAACGGAGCGGTGGAAGGCGTGGAACTCACTCAAGTCCGCTGGGAAGAGGTCTGCGAGGACAGGGTTGAGGTGGGGGGAGAGGAGAAGGGACAAGGAGGGACGGCGGGGGACGAGGAGGGCCGACTGCGGGGGGTGGTAGGGAAGGAGGGTGAGAGGGAGGGTGTGCGTCTGTGGTAGTGAGATCTGAAATGGACGGTGGGCTGCTGGAGGATGGAAAGGTGGACTCACATCAGGAGGTGACGTGGACTCACATGAGGGGGTGACGTGGACTCACATGAGGGGGTGACGTGGACTCACATGAGGGGGTGACGTGGACTCACATGAGGGGGTGACGTGGACTCACATGAGGGGGTGACGTGGACTCACATGAGGGGGTGACGTGGACTCACATGAAGGCGTGAGGTCGGCCCCTCCACCAAACCAGCCGTTCTGCCCGTCCACCTGATGGGGGCGACAGGTGGTGGGAGGGGCAGAGAGAGATGAGCGAGAGGGAGAGATGAGGGAGAGGAAGAGATTAGGGAGAGGGTAAGGGGAGGTAAGGGGGAGTTCCAGGAAGACATGAGCGCAAGGCAGTGGCTGTGGCATGCAGGCAAGCGTGGCATAGCCGGGCCGGGTGACACCAACCACGGCTCACAAGGTTGAGTCGAATTCGCTGCATTGCTGCCACCTGCCTCCACATAAAACCCACTCCACCCCCAACATTATCTAACCTAAGTTGCTAGTACTACACCCCAACACAGTTTTGATGTGTTGGGCAGCCGCTGGAGGAGAGGAGATGAGGGGGCGCAGCTGGAAGGGTGGAAGGGGGAGGGCGCAGCTGGAAGGGGGAGGGCGCAGCTGGAAGGGGGAGGGCGCAGGTGGAAGGGGGAGGGCGCAGCTGGAAGGGGGAGGGCGCAGCTGGAAGGGGGAGGGCGCAGCTGGAAGGGGGAGGGCGCAGCTGGAAGGGGGAGGGCGCAGCTGGAAGGGGGAGGGCGCAGCTGGAAGGGGGAGGGCGCAGCTGGAAGGGGGAGGGCGCAGCTGGAAGGGGGAGGGCGCAGCTGGAAGGGGGAGGGCGCAGCTTCATTCTGCTGGCACCTGGAAGTAGCGGATGGCAGCGCACCTGGAAGTAGCGGATGGCAGCTCACCTGGAAGTAGCGGATGGCAGCTCACCTGGAAGTAGCGGATGGCAGCTCACCTGGAAGTAGCGGATGGCAGCTCACCTGGAAGTAGCGGATGGCAGCGCACCTGGAAGTAGCGGATGGCAGCTCACCTGGAAGTAGCGGATGGCAGCTCACCTGGAAGTAGCGGATGGCAGCTCACCTGGAAGTAGCGGATGGCAGCTCACCTGGAAGTAGCGGATGGCAGCTCACCTGGAAGTAGCGGATGGCAGCTCACCTGGAAGTAGCGGATGGCAGCGCACCTGGAAGTAGCGGATGGCAGCTCACCTGGAAGTAGCGGATGGCAGCTCACCTGGAAGTAGCGGATGGCAGCTCACCTGGAAGTAGCGGATGGCAGCTCACCTGGAAGTAGCGGATGGCAGCTCACCTGGAAGTAGCGGATGGCAGCTCACCTGGAAGTAGCGGATGGCAGCTCACCTGGAAGTAGCGGATGGCAGCGCACCTGGAAGTAGCGGATGGCAGCTCACCTGGAAGTAGCGGATGGCAGCTCACCTGGAAGTAGCGGATGGCAGCTCACCTGGAAGTAGCGGATGGCAGCTCACCTGGAAGTAGCGGATGGCAGCTCACCTGGAAGTAGCGGATGGCAGCTCACCTGGAAGTAGCGGATGGCAGCTCACCTGGAAGTAGCGGATGGCAGCTCACCTGGAAGTAGCGGATGGCAGCTCACCTGGAAGTAGCGGATGGCAGCTCACCTGGAAGTAGCGGATGGCAGCTCACCTGGAAGTAGCGGATGGCAGCTCACCTGGAAGTAGCGGATGGCAGCTCACCTGGAAGTAGCGGATGGCAGCTCACCTGGAAGTAGCGGATGGCAGCTCACCTGGAAGTAGCGGATGGCAGCTCACCTGGAAGTAGCGGATGGCAGCTCACCTGGAAGTAGCGGATGTCAGCTCACCTGGAAGTAGCGGATGGCAGCTCACCTGGAAGTAGCGGATGGCAGCTCACCTGGAAGTAGCGGATGGCAGCGCACCTGGAAGTAGCGGATGGCAGCTCACCTGGAAGTAGCGGATGTCGGAGCGGAAGGTGGGGATGAGCGGGTGCGCGGAGTGGAACACCAGCGACAGCGCACCGGCGAAGTACCCCGTCCCCTCTGCCAGCTGCCTCCCCTGCCTCGCACTCATGGCCTGGCGGAGGGGAAAGGGGGGGAAGGGGAGAGGTGGGGGGAGAGGGGGGTATGTGGTGGAGGTGCCGGGGAACGACCGTTGGAAGCGAGAAGGGGAGAGAGGGGCACAAAACGATGCATGCATGGAGGAATGGACGGACAGGAGGAGTTGTCCGGGTGGGACATAGTGGCCGTGCCCGGCACGCCCAGCCTCCCTGGCCTGCCCTCTGCCGTTGCTGGCAGAACTGCGCCCACAGGTCTCCTCACTCCCTGCGGGAGATTTTGTGGGCGCAGCGTCAGTGGAAGAGCGCTTCAGAGAATAGCTTCCTCACAAGCAGCCTTCCTGTGAGGCCTCTTGAATCAACTCGCAGTTTCCCCTGACCACCCTTGGTACAGCGAGGAGGATGGGGTTGCCCGTACAGCGAGGAGGATGGGGTTGCCCTTACAGCGAGGAGGATGGGGTTGCCCATACAGCGAGGAGGATGGGGTTGCCCATACAGCGAGGAGGATGGGGTTGCCAATACAGCGAGGAGGATGGGGTTGCCCATACAGCGAGGAGGATGGGGTTGCCCATACAGCGAGGAGGATGGGGTTGCCCTTACAGCGAGGAGGATGGGGTTGCCCATACAGCGAGGAGGATGGGGTTGCCCATACAGCGAGGAGGATGGGGTTGCCCATACAGCGAGGAGGATGGGGTTGCCCATACAGCGAGGAGGATGGGGTTGCCCTTACAGCGAGGAGGATGGGGTTGCCCATACAGCGAGGAGGATGGGGTTGCCCTTACAGCGAGGAGGATGGGGTTGCCCATACAGCGAGGAGGATGGGGTTGCCCATACAGCGAGGAGGATGGGGTTGCCCTTACAGCGAGGAGGATGGGGTTGCCCATACAGCGAGGAGGATGGGGTTGCCCATACAGCGAGGAGGATGGGGTTGCCCATACAGCGAGGAGGATGGGGTTGCCAATACAGCGAGGAGGATGGGGTTGCCCATACAGCGAGGAGGATGGGGTTGCCCATACAGCGAGGAGGATGGGGTTGCCCATACAGCGAGGAGGATGGGGTTGCCCATACAGCGAGGAGGATGGGGTTGCCCTTACAGCGAGGAGGATGGGGTTGCCCTTACAGCGAGGAGGATGGGGTTGCCCATACAGCGAGGAGGATGGGGTTGCCCATACAGCGAGGAGGATGGGGTTGCCCATACAGCGAGGAGGATGGGGTTGCCCATACAGCGAGGAGGATGGGGTTGCCCATACAGCGAGGAGGATGGGGTTGCCCATACAGCGAGGAGGATGGGGTTGCCCATACAGCGAGGAGGATGGGGTTGCCCATACAGCGAGGAGGATGGGGTTGCCCTTACAGCGAGGAGGATGGGGTTGCCCTTACAGCGAGGAGGATGGGGTTGCCCATACAGCGAGGAGGATGGGGTTGCCCATACAGCGAGGAGGATGGGGTTGCCAATACAGCGAGGAGGATGGGGTTGCCCATACAGCGAGGAGGATGGGGTTGCCCATACAGCGAGGAGGATGGGGTTGCCCATACAGCGAGGAGGATGGGGTTGCCCATACAGCGAGGAGGATGGGGTTGCCCTTACAGCGAGGAGGATGGGGTTGCCCATACAGCGAGGAGGATGGGGTTGCCCATACAGCGAGGAGGATGGGGTTGCCCATACAGCGAGGAGGATGGGGTTGCCCATACAGCGAGGAGGATGGGGTTGCCCTTACAGCGAGGAGGATGGGGTTGCCCATACAGCGAGGAGGATGGGGTTGCCCTTACAGCGAGGAGGATGGGGTTGCCCATACAGCGAGGAGGATGGGGTTGCCCATACAGCGAGGAGGATGGGGTTGCCCTTACAGCGAGGAGGATGGGGTTGCCCATACAGCGAGGAGGATGGGGTTGCCCATACAGCGAGGAGGATGGGGTTGCCCTTACAGCGAGGAGGATGGGGTTGCCCATACAGCGAGGAGGATGGGGTTGCCCATACAGCGAGGAGGCTGGGGTTGCCCTTACAGCGAGGAGGATGGGGTTGCCCTTACAGCGAGGAGGATGGGGTTGCCCATACAGCGAGGAGGATGGGGTTGCCCATACAGCGAGGAGGATGGGGTTGCCCATACAGCGAGGAGGATGGGGTTGCCAATACAGCGAGGAGGATGGGGTTGCCCATACAGCGAGGAGGATGGGGTTGCCCATACAGCGAGGAGGATGGGGTTGCCCATACAGCGAGGAGGATGGGGTTGCCCATACAGCGAGGAGGATGGGGTTGCCCATACAGCGAGGAGGATGGGGTTGCCCTTACAGCGAGGAGGATGGGGTTGCCCTTACAGCGAGGAGGATGGGGTTGCCCATACAGCGAGGAGGATGGGGTTGCCCATACAGCGAGGAGGATGGGGTTGCCCATACAGCGAGGAGGATGGGGTTGCCAATACAGCGAGGAGGATGGGGTTGCCCATACAGCGAGGAGGATGGGGTTGCCCATACAGCGAGGAGGATGGGGTCGCCCATACAGCGAGGAGGATGGGGTTGCCCATACAGCGAGGAGGATGGGGTTGCCCTTACAGCGAGGAGGATGGGGTTGCCCTTACAGCGAGGAGGATGGGGTTGCCCATACAGCGAGGAGGATGGGGTTGCCCATACAGCGAGGAGGATGGGGTTGCCCATACAGCGAGGAGGATGGGGTTGCCCATACAGCGAGGAGGATGGGGTTGCCCATACAGCGAGGAGGATGGGGTTGCCCATACAGCGAGGAGGATGGGGTTGCCCATACAGCGAGGAGGATGGGGTTGCCCATACAGCGAGGAGGATGGGGTTGCCCTTACAGCGAGGAGGATGGGGTTGCCCTTACAGCGAGGAGGATGGGGTTGCCCATACAGCGAGGAGGATGGGGTTGCCCATACAGCGAGGAGGATGGGGTTGCCCTTACAGCGAGGAGGATGGGGTTGCCCTTACAGCGAGGAGGATGGGGTTGCCCATACAGCGAGGAGGATGGGGTTGCCCATACAGCGAGGAGGATGGGGTTGCCCATACAGCGAGGAGGATGGGGTTGCCCATACAGCGAGGAGGATGGGGTTGCCCATACAGCGAGGAGGATGGGGTTGCCCATACAGCGAGGAGGATGGGGTTGCCCATACAGCGAGGAGGATGGGGTTGCCCATACAGCGAGGAGGATGGGGTTGCCCATACAGCGAGGAGGATGGGGTTGCCCATACAGCGAGGAGGATGGGGTTGCCCATACAGCGAGGAGGATGGGGTTGCCCTTACAGCGAGGAGGATGGGGTTGCCCATACAGCGAGGAGGATGGGGTTGCCCATACAGCGAGGAGGATGGGGTTGCCCATACAGCGAGGAGGATGGGGTTGCCCATACAGCGAGGAGGATGGGGTTGCCCATACAGCGAGGAGGATGGGGTTGCCCTTACAGCGAGGAGGATGGGGTTGCCCATACAGCGAGGAGGATGGGGTTGCCCATACAGCGAGGAGGATGGGGTTGCCCATACAGCGAGGAGGATGGGGTTGCCCATACAGCGAGGAGGATGGGGTTGCCCATACAGCGAGGAGGATGGGGTTGCCCATACAGCGAGGAGGATGGGGTTGCCCATACAGCGAGGAGGATGGGGTTGCCCTTACAGCGAGGAGGATGGGGTTGCCCATACAGCGAGGAGGATGGGGTTGCCCATACAGCGAGGAGGATGGGGTTGCCCATACAGCGAGGAGGATGGGGTTGCCCATACAGCGAGGAGGATGGGGTTGCCCATACAGCGAGGAGGATGGGGTTGCCCATACAGCGAGGAGGATGGGGTTGCCCATACAGCGAGGAGGATGGGGTTGCCCATACAGCGAGGAGGATGGGGTTGCCCATACAGCGAGGAGGATGGGGTTGCCCATACAGCGAGGAGGATGGGGTTGCCCATACAGCGAGGAGGATGGGGTTGCCCTTACAGCGAGGAGGATGGGGTTGCCCATACAGCGAGGAGGATGGGGTTGCCCATACAGCGAGGAGGATGGGGTTGCCCATACAGCGAGGAGGATGGGGTTGCCCATACAGCGAGGAGGATGGGGTTGCCCATACAGCGAGGAGGATGGGGTTGCCCATACAGCGAGGAGGATGGGGTTGCCCTTACAGCGAGGAGGATGGGGTTGCCCATACAGCGAGGAGGATGGGGTTGCCCATACAGCGAGGAGGATGGGGTTGCCCATACAGCGAGGAGGATGGGGTTGCCCATACAGCGAGGAGGATGGGGTTGCCCATACAGCGAGGAGGATGGGGTTGCCCTTACAGCGAGGAGGATGGGGTTGCCCATACAGCGAGGAGGATGGGGTTGCCCATACAGCGAGGAGGATGGGGTTGCCCATACAGCGAGGAGGATGGGGTTGCCCATACAGCGAGGAGGATGGGGTTGCCCATACAGCGAGGAGGATGGGGTTGCCCATACAGCGAGGAGGATGGGGTTGCCAATACAGCGAGGAGGATGGGGTTGCCCATACAGCGAGGAGGATGGGGTTGCCCATACAGCGAGGAGGATGGGGTTGCCCATACAGCGAGGAGGATGGGGTTGCCCATACAGCGAGGAGGATGGGGTTGCCCATACAGCGAGGAGGATGGGGTTGCCCTTACAGCGAGGAGGATGGGGTTGCCCATACAGCGAGGAGGATGGGGTTGCCCATACAGCGAGGAGGATGGGGTTGCCCATACAGCGAGGAGGATGGGGTTGCCCATACAGCGAGGAGGATGGGGTTGCCCATACAGCGAGGAGGATGGGGTTGCCCATACAGCGAGGAGGATGGGGTTGCCCTTACAGCGAGGAGGATGGGGTTGCCCTTACAGCGAGGAGGATGGGGTTGCCCATACAGCGAGGAGGATGGGGTTGCCCATACAGCGAGGAGGATGGGGTTGCCCATACAGCGAGGAGGATGGGGTTGCCCATACAGCGAGGAGGATGGGGTTGCCCATACAGCGAGGAGGATGGGGTTGCCCATACAGCGAGGAGGATGGGGTTGCCCTTACAGCGAGGAGGATGGGGTTGCCCTTACGCCCAGCAAAGCTCACCTCGTTTCCAAACCTCCTTGCTCACAGCGTGGCACGGAGGCTGTTCAATGCAGGCCGCCAGGACCATCCACCCACCGCCAGGCATGGCGGCACTCCGTGGGTGCCAGCCAGTGAGCCTTCTCATCAAGACGAGCACAGCTTTTGAGGCGAGGTGGTGCCACGGTCATGCGAGGGACGCGGCAGTCGTTCACAGACCACCCGCGCAAGCCACACTCTTGCATACTGCACTGCATGTTGAAAAAATCTCAAGTGTTATCCTCATTACAAAGAGTGTGGGTACATATAGAAGATGAGAAGTTGGGAACTAGGTGGGGTACTGTCAGCATTGTTGGCGGACCAATCAGATTGGGACGCCCAATAATTGCTGTTGTTACAAACAATCGGTGGAGGGGAACCATTATTGGCTCCCCCCGTCAATTGCGGTCGAGATGGGTTTGGGAGCGCCCAACCAAAATTGGTTGGGTTGCCTGACCCAAAGTGTACACCCACGTTAGTGTGTAAAACTTGCACAAATACAAACACACGTTATGCTATATTCTAACACACTTACCCTCCCACCCACCCAGCCGTGAACCATCCACCTAGTCCCCCCCAAAGCCCTCCCAAGCCCCTCTTGCTCTCCCTACCCCTTACTGCCCACTCTTCTTCTCAAGTCCCCCCATGCTCCGCTCACCTTGGCGCGTGCCGCAGTGAGCTGGCCTCTAACGATGGACACGTTGGCAGCGGCCTTCTCGAGCACATGGCCGCCCTCCAGCACGCGGGTGATGCCATACCCCGCCCACGGGTTGCCGGGGTCGCGCTCCCACCGCTCCTCCACGAACGCCTTGCCGCTGCCGTCCCGCTCTGCTGACTGCCGCCCATAGTGGCGGCGGTGGGGGAAGGGGGGTTTCAGGGGGAGGGAAAGGAGCAATGAGTGCAGAGACGAGAGCGGGATGGCAGGGCAGGTGGCGAGAGTGGCGGCACAGGTGCGAGCAGGTGACGGGGGTTAGGGCCGACGTGACGTGGAGGGGCGAGAGATGGAGGGGCGAGTGGGACGATGGGATGGGCAGACAGAGCGGCTATGGGATGACACATAGGACGTCACCTCACCACATGTCACCGCCTTACCTCACCACATGTCACCGCCTTACCTCACCACATGTCACCGCCTTACCTCACCACATGTCACCGCCTTACCTCACCTCCACACCTGTCGGCACGGCACGGCACGTCTCGGCACGCCAGCTGACCTGGTGACAGATGGCGGCCTGCAGGTCCAGCAGCAGCTGCTCGAAGCCGCCCTGCGAGAAGGCCGCTGTGTCCGCCGCTTGTGCTGACGCCGCTGCGGGGGAAAGGCAGGGAAGGGGATGGGGGAACGGAGGGGAAGGCGGGGAAGGGGATGGGGGAACGGAGGGGGGAGCGAGGTGTGGAGGGTGGGGCAGGAAGGGGAGGTGCATGCGCTGCTCGCCGGCAGCGCGGTGGCGCCACGCGGGTGGCGGTGGCGCGCGCGATTGCAGCATTGTGAAGGGGGCGCACGGGAGGACGGAGAGGTGGAGGGGAAAGGGGGAAGGAGCGACGGGAGGTCGAACGGAGAGGCAATGGGGCGGGCAGGATCAGAAGTGTGATGCGTGCGGGCTCACACGAACGGCTAGAGGCATCCGCTGCGCTGCGCCAATGAAGAACCCCCTTTTGGCCCTGTGAACCCCCTTTTGGCCCTGTGAACCCCCTTTTGGCCCTGTGAACCCCCTTTTGGCCCTGTGAACCCCCTTTTGGCCCTGTGAACCCCCTTTTGGCCCTGTGAACAGTTCACTGGGGATTGCTCTAGGGGGGCGATATCGGAAGGGAACAATAGGTCACATGCTGCCAGCTGCGTCATGCACCTGCCACGTGGCGCTGTTCAACACTAGCGCGTGCGCCAATGCTCCCCCGTCGTGCCGGCAGCAGCCGCGGCTCGCCGCACCGCCGCACGGCGTCGGAGGCGGACCGACCGGCGCCCATCGCGGAAACGTCGCTCCGTATTTGGCGCGTGCTGCTGCTAGCCGGCAACCGCAACGCGGCGACGCGAGCGACGGTGTGCGATTGCGCGGCCGAGTGCGCAGCGACACCAGTCACGCTCATCGCTGCGGTCGCCGCTGCCGCCGCGACCATGATGAGAGCAGCTGTGACGGCGCTGCTCAGCAACGGCTGGGCAGATAAACGGTTGCAGCAGGGATGACGGAAGAGCTGCGATTAACTACCTAGTGATGCGAGTTGTATCCCCAGAAGGCGCGTCGAACTGAAGACACGAAAGTTAGGGTTGAGGGCGTGTTCAGACTTCTGGGTTAGCGATGTTTTTCGGGTGCACACGAAGTTGGAACCCAGCAGCTTCATGCCCATGTACTGGTTTCCGGATATTCCGAATGACACGAACAACAAAGACCCAGTATGCGGCATTTTGCAGCGAAATAACGATAGCGAAAAGCCAAGACGAAATTTCACGAGGAAACGAAGTTCGGAGAGAACAGGTAGACGTAGCAAAACATTTATAGCTGTACCAGCCGGGAATCGAACCCGGGTCTGCACCGAGCTGATGGCAGGGTGCTATTCTACCACTAGACCACTGGCACGCTGAACACGCCTTAAGTAAGCGGTTCCCAATTTGTAAAATGTTAACCAGCGCGAATTCGATTGAGTCGGAGGGAGGAAATGACGGAGCGCCCTGTTTTCTGGTTTCCAATTCCTTTCGGCAGTGGTTTTGACACCACCCTGCTTCGCGGTCGCGTCCGATTCCTTGGGGCAGTTTTTTCCGACATTTCCAATTTTCTGTGACCGGGAAATTATGAAGTCTACCTGGTTTCAGTTTTGAGGCCAGTGTAAAAAAAAATAAAACCCATTCGGATGGCTGGCCATTAGGGAGGCATCAACCCTAAACACCTTGCCTTATGGTGTTTAGGGTTGTCTCCCGAATGGCATGCCATCCAAGAGGGGTATATATATTTTTGTTCCGCGCTGCTAGTAAATAAAGCGTTGCTTGATTTTGAATATCCCCTAAAGAAAAAGGAAATAAGATTGGTAGGACTTGGAAAGGGAATTAGCGAAATTATCGGCCCGAAGGTATCGGACGCGAGCGCGTAGCGGGGTGGTGTCAAAACCACTGCCGAAAGGAATTGGAAACCATAAATCAGGGCGCTTTGTCATTTCCTCGAGGGAAAGTCTCTTGAGAAAGTCGGATTTCATTCACCCGCACTCGCTACGATGCGCGGCCGACCAGCGAGAGCATGGTAGGCGTTCCCGAGAAGCCCATAGCGCGATGAAGATCAGTTAGAGGCGTGCAGCCGTAGAGCGGCATCGACGCGCTGCGAGCATTAGCGACGCTGATATCGACGAGAGGCCGCGTAGCGGCGAGAGCACGCGAGTGGAGTCGCAGCGGATTCAGGCGAAGAGCGTCTTGCGGAGGCGAACAGCGACGGGGGGCGCGGGGCGGGCGGCATGCCCCGTGTGGCGCGAGGTAGCGCACGAGATTAAATCATAGGCGGACTCTTGGCGCGCAGCGGAAAGGGGGAGTGGGAAGGAGGGGAGGGAGGGGCGGCATGCCGCGTCTGTTTGTGGAGGGCTTCTTCCTGTCGTGGCTCGACAGCTACGAGGACGTGCAGAACGCCGCGCTCACGCTGCTCTACCTGCAGGTAACCTGATAACCCGCTCCCGTTACAGGGAGGGTCCCATTCCACGTTACTGCCACCACGAGCGAGGAGGCACGATGGCAAGCCGCTCGAGCCCCCGCTGCCTGCTGCTCTTGCGCTTGCGCCCCCCCCGCCCTCGCCGCTTCCCCGCTTCTTCTCGCCGTTTCCCCCCTCCCATCGCCGCTTTCCCCCTCCCCTCCTGCTTCCCCCTTCTCTATTTCCATCGCCCCATCCCTCCTCCTCGCCGCTTCTACATTCCCCCTCGCCGTCTCCTCTCCACCTGCTCGCCGCGCTCCACCACGCCGCACTCCTCTGTCATTCCTTCGTTCCTCCACCCCCCAGTCGCGCCCTGCGTCCTCCCCAACCCATGCACCATGCACCCCATGCATCCCATGCATGCATGTGCCGGCACGTGTGCATGGGAGCGCATGCACTGGTGGGTGGGAGCGCATGCACTGGCGGGTGGGAGCGCATGCACTGGTGGGTGGGAGCGCATGCACTGGTGGGTGGGAGCGCATGCACTGGTGGGTGGGAGCGCATGCACTGGTGGGTGGGAGCGCATGCACTGGTGGGTGGGAGCGCATGCACTGGCGGGTGGCCTCACATGGCACTGGCGGGTGGCCTCACATGGCACCACACGGCTTGCTGCGTTTCGAATCCTTCATTACTCCGCAAGAGGCGGGTGGCCTCACATGGCACCCATGCGCCGCTCCCCGCCCCGCGTCCACCCGCGTCATGGGACTGAACTTGTACGCGCCGGACGCCCCCTGCCCTCCTCGCCTGCGTGCACGCCATCATACGCCTGCTGGCCCACGGTGGCCCCACCTACACGCCATTGATCGTGCCAACCCCTTCACTCTCCGCCCGCCTCGCCACTGCGCGTCCCCGGCAGGCGTTCATAGGGCTACTGGGCACGGTGGGGCCCACGTACACGGGCGTCATCGTGGCGGACGTGGGCGTGGCGCTCTTCGGCCTGGTGGCCGTGGCCAGCGGGTACCAGGCGCTGGGGCGCACATACGCCGCACTGCTCATGCTCATGCTGCTCCTCGACTCCCTCTGGCTCGCCCTCTTCGCCCCCCACATCTGGTGCCCTCTTCGCCCCCCACATCTGGTGCCCTCTCCTGCTCACTCGCCCCACCTCCCTACGCCCAGCTGCTCCTCCCTACCCGCACATCTCCTCGTCCTCTCTCCCAGTTCCATCTCTTTGCCAGCCCTCGTTTCTGTACCCGCTGCCACGGGCACGACCCGCAGCGTTCACAACACCTGCACCGCCTCACATGCATCTTCAACTCACTCTGCACCTTACTCCTTGCTTCACCTGCCACCACCCTCTCTCCCCCTCCGCCACACCCTGCATGCCCGCCTCATCATGCTGGACATGCCCTCTCTCACTCGCCTCATCATGCTGGACATGCCCTCTCTCACTCGCCTCATCATGCTGGACATGCCCTCTCTCTCTCGCCTCATCATGCTGGACATGCCCTCTCTCACTCGCCTCATCATGCTGGACATGCCCTCTCTCACTCGCCTCATCATGCTGGACATGCCCTCTCTCACTCGCCTCATCATGCTGGACATGCCCTCTCTCACTCGCCTCATCATGCTGGACATGCCCTCTATCACTCGCCTCATCATGCTGGACATGCCCTCTCTCTCTCGCCTCATGCTGGACATGCCCTCTCTCACTCGCCTCATCATGCTGGACATGCCCTCTCTCACTTTTCCTTTGCCAAATCCCACCCTAACCAACTCCACCGCACCCCACCCCAGCCCACTGCTAGAGTTAGCCCTCAATCTTAACTTTTGTAGTTGAACTTTTAATGTCCTAGTTTAGTGTAGTTTGTAGTTGGATGTACACCCACATCCCAACCTCACCCGAATGTGATGAACTGAAACCTTCAACCCACCAATTGGAGATTTCAGCCGATCTCATTGGGATTTCAGCCGATCTCATTGGGATTTCATTGGGATTGGCCCCAATTCCCACCCCATCCATCCTTGCTCATGTCCAATGTACTCAAGAACCTTGAGCTCATTACCTAATGCATCAATTCTACCACCCACCCCACCCTAATGCTCAGTTCTTACACCCACCCCACCGTGCCTCACCCACCCCACCCCACCCCACCCCACGGCACGGCACGGCGTGGCACGGCACGGCACCAGGAGCGAGGAGCTGACGGCGCCGTGGAGGCAGCACCCGCTGGTGGCGCTGGCAGTGCTGCTGGAGCTCACGTGCCACTCCCTCACCTTCACGCTGCGCCTCCTCTCCGCCCTGCTCTGGCTTCAGGTCATTGTCGTCTTGCCTTCACCTCATTCCCACATTCCCTTCAGGTCAGTTCTCTTGTAGGTTATGAGATTCCTTGGTTTGGGTTTGTGGTTTCGCTTTACCAATTCTCTGTGGTTCAGGTGCTTAGTCCATCGTCTTCAGGTAGTTATTCCTCTCCTCTTGCTTCAGGTGCCTTTCCCATTACTTCCTCGTCAGATACCCACAGCATTTATCCGTTTAAATATGGTTTTTTGTGAAATGCTGTCCCACGTTGCCTATAGAGATCATTTCACCTCACTGGATGTCACATCCCAACCTTCACCTCACTGGATGTCACATCGCAACCTTCACCTCACTGGATGTCACATCGCAACCTTCACCTCACTGGATGTCACATCGCAACCTTCACATCACTGGATGTCACATCGCAACCTTCACCTCACTGGATGTCACATCCCAACCTTCACCTCACTGGATGTCACATCCCAACCTTCACCTCACTGGATGTCACATCGCAACCTTCACCTCACTGGATGTCACATCCCAACCTTCACCTCACTGGATGTCACATCCCAACCTTCACCTCACTGGATGTCACATCCCAACCTTCACCTCACTGGATGTCACATCGCAACCTTCACCTCACTGGATGTCACATCCCAACCTTCACTGCGCCCTCTCCATTCACCCACTAGCTTCCCGCATTCATCACTCCATTGCGGCCTGTCACCTATGTGCTTATCTGCGCACACAGGAGATTCGAGCCTCTCGTGCAACGCCCTTTCTCCCTCACTCCCTCACTCGCTGCACCCACCCCAACCTTGTCTTCACGCCCCTTGCAGCTGCTGCGCTTGGGCCTGGCACACGCCAGGGAGGGCATCGCATGGCACTGTCGTGTGTTCTTAAGGATTTCCCAGAGCCAACTGGCCCCGTCCGTGCCTCGCCCCTCCGTCACATCCACCAACTCTCGCCTGGGCCTAGCGGATGGCATCGAGGCCGTGGCCATGGCAAGGCCGTGGCCAAGTCAGAGGTTGTCTAGGATTCTCAAAAGCCAGCGAGACCCGCTCCTGCCCATCCCCCGCGTGCAGATGCTGCGCCTGGGCCTGGCGGACAGCAGGGAGCCCACACCCGTGCCCACCTCAGAGGTGCACGCCTACCTCCCTGCCTACGACAGCCTCGGCCCGTACCGCCCTGCAAGCTCGGCAACGCCGGACCTGAGCCCCACGGCGGGGCGGGAGCGGGCGGTGGGTGATGAGTTCGTGGGCAGCGCCATCTTCCACCCGTCCGCCTTCGCCACGCTCTTCCAGTCCGACACCCTCCTCAACTACCTCTCTGAGGTGCGCTCTTCCAGTCAGACACCCTCCTCAACTACCTCTCTGAGGTGCGCCCACCTGCTCAACTACCTCTCTGAGGTGCGCCCACCTGCTCAACTACCTCTCTGAGGTGCGCCGCGCCTCCCCTCTCCCTTGAGTGGTCGTTCATTGATAGAAGTATTGGGTACAACGACAACGATAGGGCGCACTGGTTGAATCACGATCTCTGGCCTCCACTACCCACTCCCACTCACGACCTTCTCCCCTGCCACCCACTCCCTTCTCCTCTCCCTCTCACTCCCTTCTCCTCTCCCACTCTCCCTTCTCCTCTCACACCCTCCCTCCTTTCTCACGCTCTCCCGTCTCCCCCGCTCATTATCCGCTCCTCTCCCCTTACTCCCTCTCCCCTGTGCGAGTGGGCAGGACGGCAGCAGCAGCGCGCCCAACAGCCTGGACAGCAGCTATGGGGGGCACCCCGTGGCCGCAGGCGCGGAGGACACTGAGGTGCATGGGTGGGATGGGGTGATATGGGGTGACGTAATGTGATATGGGGTGACATGGGGTGATAAGGGGTGATGTGGGGTGACATGATGTGATATGGGGTTATCTGGGGTGATATGGAGTGACATGGAGTGACATGGGGTGATATGGGGTGATATGAGTTGATATTGGGTGTATGGGGCTATATGCGGTGATATGGGTGGCATGGTCTAAAGGCTGTAGATGGGATGAGATGAGGCCATGACGGCACGGAGGCAAGAGCGTTTCGGCTCAAGCGAGTTCAGGAGTGGCCAAGAGGGGTCAAGAGGGTTCAAGAAAGTAGTGCGCCCAGCAGGCTGCCAGAAGCATGATTTGGCTGCAGGGGAGGAGATTGGAAAGGGGATGTGAGGCAAGGAGAGGGCACGAGACGGGGATGTGAGGCAAGGAGAGGGCACGAGACGGGGATGTGAGGCAAGGAGAGGGCACGAGACGGGGATGTGAGGCAAGGAGAGGGCACGAGACGGGGATGTGAGGCAAGGAGAGGGCACGAGACGGGGATGTGAGGCAAGGAGAGGGCACGAGACGGGGATGTGAGGCAAGGAGAGGGCACGAGGCGGGGATGTGAGGCAAGGAGAGGGCACGAGACGGGGATGTGAGGCAAGGAGAGGGCACGAGACGGGGATGTGAGGCAAGGAGAGGGCACGAGGCGGGGATGTGAGGCAAGGAGAGGGCACGAGACGGGGATGTGAGGCAAGGAGAGGGCACGAGACGGGGATGTGAGGCAAGGAGAGGGCACGAGGCGGGGATGTGAGGCAAGGAGAGGGCATGAGGCGTGGGGCAAGGAGAGGGCACGAGACGGGGATGTGAGGCAAGGAGAGGGCACGAGACGGGGATGTGAGGCAAGGAGAGGGCACGAGACGGGGATGTGAGGCAAGGAGAGGGCACGAGACGGGGATGTGAGGCAAGGAGAGGGCACGAGACGGGGATGTGAGGCAAGGAGAGGGCACGAGACGGGGATGTGAGGCAAGGAGAGGGCACGAGACGGGGATGTGAGGCAAGGAGAGGGCACGAGGCGGGGATGTGAGGCAAGGAGAGGGCACGAGGCGGGGATGTGAGGCAAGGAGAGGGCACGAGACGGGGATGTGAGGCAAGGAGAGGGCACGAGACGGGGATGTGAGGCAAGGAGAGGGCACGAGGCGGGGATGTGAGGCAAGGAGAGGGCACGAGGCGGGGATGTGAGGCAAGGAGAGGGCACGAGGCGGGGATGTGAGGCAAGGAGAGGGCACGAGGCGGGGATGTGAGGCAAGGAGAGGGCACGAGACGGGGATGTGAGGCAAGGAGAGGGCACGAGACGGGGATGTGAGGCAAGGAGAGGGCACGAGACGGGGATGTGAGGCAAGGAGAGGGCACGAGGCGGGGATGTGAGGCAAGGAGAGGGCACGAGGCGGGGATGTGAGGCAAGGAGAGGGCACGAGGCGGGGATGTGAGGCAAGGAGAGGGCACGAGACGGGGATGTGAGGCAAGGAGAGGGCACGAGACGGGGATGTGAGGCAAGGAGAGGGCACAAGGCGGGGATGTGAGGCAAGGAGAGGGCACGAGGCGGGGATGTGAGGCAAGGAGAGGGCACGAGGCGGGGATGTGAGGCAAGGAGAGGGCACGAGGCGGGGATGTGAGGCAAGGAGAGGGCACGAGGCGGGGATGTGAGGCAAGGAGAGGGCACGAGGCGGGGATGTGAGGCAAGGAGAGGGCACGAGGCGGGGATGTGAGGCAAGGAGAGGGCACGAGGCGGGGATGTGAGGCAAGGAGAGGGCACGAGGCGGGGATGTGAGGCAAGGAGAGGGCACGAGGCGGGGATGTGAGGCAAGGAGAGGGCACGAGGCGGGGATGTGAGGCAAGGAGAGGGCACGAGGCGGGGATGTGAGGCAAGGAGAGGGCACGAGGCGGGGATGTGAGGCAAGGAGAGGGCACGAGGCAGGGATGTGAGGCAAGTAGAGGGCACGAGGCGGGGATGTGAGGCAAGGAGAGGGCACGAGGCGGGGATGTGAGGCAAGGAGAGGGCACGAGACGGGGATGTGAGGCAAGGAGAGGGCACGAGGCGGGGATGTGAGGCAAGGAGAGGGCACGAGGCGGGGATGTGAGGCAAGGAGAGGGCACGAGGCGGGGATGTGAGGCAAGGAGAGGGCACGAGTCAGGGATGTGAGGCAAGGAGAGGGCACGAGGCGGGGATGTGAGGCAAGGAGAGGGCACGAGGCGGGGATGTGAGGCAAGGAGAGGGCACGAGGCGGGGATGTGAGGCAAGGAGAGGGCACGAGGCGGGGATGTGAGGCAAGGAGAGGGCACGAGGCGGGGATGTGAGGCAAGGAGAGGGCACGAGGCGGGGATGTGAGGCAAGGAGAGGGCACGAGACGGGGATGTGAGGCAAGGAGAGGGCACGAGGCGGGGATGTGAGGCAAGGAGAGGGCACGAGGCGGGGATGTGAGGCAAGGAGAGGGCACGAGACGGGGATGTGAGGCAAGGAGAGGGCACGAGACGGGGATGTGAGGCAAGGAGAGGGCACGAGACGGGGATGTGAGGCAAGGAGAGGGCACGAGGCGGGGATGTGAGGCAAGGAGAGGGCACGAGGCGGGGATGTGAGGCAAGGAGAGGGCACGAGACGGGGATGTGAGGCAAGGAGAGGGCACGAGACGGGGATGTGAGGCAAGGAGAGGGCACAAGGCGGGGATGTGAGGCAAGGAGAGGGCACGAGGCGGGGATGTGAGGCAAGGAGAGGGCACGAGGCGGGGATGTGAGGCAAGGAGAGGGCACGAGGCGGGGATGTGAGGCAAGGAGAGGGCACGAGGCGGGGATGTGAGGCAAGGAGAGGGCACGAGGCGGGGATGTGAGGCAAGGAGAGGGCACGAGGCGGGGATGTGAGGCAAGGAGAGGGCACGAGGCGGGGATGTGAGGCAAGGAGAGGGCACGAGACGGGGATGTGAGGCAAGGAGAGGGCACGAGGCGGGGATGTGAGGCAAGGAGAGGGCACGAGGCGGGGATGTGAGGCAAGGAGAGGGCACGAGGCGGGGATGTGAGGCAATGAGAGGGCACGAGGCGGGGATGTGAGGCAAGGAGAGGGCACGAGGCGGGGATGTGAGGCAAGGAGAGGGCACGAGGCGGGGATGTGAGGCAAGGAGAGGGCACGAGGCGGGGATGTGAGGCAAGGAGAGGGCACGAGGCGGGGATGTGAGGCAAGGAGAGGGCACGAGACGGGGATGTGAGGCAAGGAGAGGGCACGAGACGGGGATGTGAGGCAAGGAGAGGGCACGAGGCGGGGATGTGAGGCAAGGAGAGGGCATGAGGCGTGGGGCAAGGAGAGGGCACGAGACGGGGATGTGAGGCAAGGAGAGGGCACGAGACGGGGATGTGAGGCAAGGAGAGGGCACGAGACGGGGATGTGAGGCAAGGAGAGGGCACGAGACGGGGATGTGAGGCAAGGAGAGGGCACGAGACGGGGATGTGAGGCAAGGAGAGGGCACGAGACGGGGATGTGAGGCAAGGAGAGGGCACGAGACGGGGATGTGAGGCAAGGAGAGGGCACGAGGCGGGGATGTGAGGCAAGGAGAGGGCACGAGGCGGGGATGTGAGGCAAGGAGAGGGCACGAGACGGGGATGTGAGGCAAGGAGAGGGCACGAGACGGGGATGTGAGGCAAGGAGAGGGCACGAGGCGGGGATGTGAGGCAAGGAGAGGGCACGAGGCGGGGATGTGAGGCAAGGAGAGGGCACGAGGCGGGGATGTGAGGCAAGGAGAGGGCACGAGGCGGGGATGTGAGGCAAGGAGAGGGCACGAGACGGGGATGTGAGGCAAGGAGAGGGCACGAGACGGGGATGTGAGGCAAGGAGAGGGCACGAGACGGGGATGTGAGGCAAGGAGAGGGCACGAGGCGGGGATGTGAGGCAAGGAGAGGGCACGAGGCGGGGATGTGAGGCAAGGAGAGGGCACGAGGCGGGGATGTGAGGCAAGGAGAGGGCACGAGACGGGGATGTGAGGCAAGGAGAGGGCACGAGACGGGGATGTGAGGCAAGGAGAGGGCACAAGGCGGGGATGTGAGGCAAGGAGAGGGCACGAGGCGGGGATGTGAGGCAAGGAGAGGGCACGAGGCGGGGATGTGAGGCAAGGAGAGGGCACGAGGCGGGGATGTGAGGCAAGGAGAGGGCACGAGGCGGGGATGTGAGGCAAGGAGAGGGCACGAGGCGGGGATGTGAGGCAAGGAGAGGGCACGAGGCGGGGATGTGAGGCAAGGAGAGGGCACGAGGCGGGGATGTGAGGCAAGGAGAGGGCACGAGGCAGGGATGTGAGGCAAGGAGAGGGCACGAGGCGGGGATGTGAGGCAAGGAGAGGGCACGAGGCGGGGATGTGAGGCAAGGAGAGGGCACGAGGCGGGGATGTGAGGCAAGGAGAGGGCACGAGGCGGGGATGTGAGGCAAGGAGAGGGCACGAGGCAGGGATGTGAGGCAAGTAGAGGGCACGAGGCGGGGATGTGAGGCAAGGAGAGGGCACGAGGCGGGGATGTGAGGCAAGGAGAGGGCACGAGACGGGGATGTGAGGCAAGGAGAGGGCACGAGGCGGGGATGTGAGGCAAGGAGAGGGCACGAGGCGGGGATGTGAGGCAAGGAGAGGGCACGAGGCGGGGATGTGAGGCAAGGAGAGGGCACGAGTCAGGGATGTGAGGCAAGGAGAGGGCACGAGGCGGGGATGTGAGGCAAGGAGAGGGCACGAGGCGGGGATGTGAGGCAAGGAGAGGGCACGAGGCGGGGATGTGAGGCAAGGAGAGGGCACGAGGCGGGGATGTGAGGCAAGGAGAGGGCACGAGGCGGGGATGTGAGGCAAGGAGAGGGCACGAGGCGGGGATGTGAGGCAAGGAGAGGGCACGAGACGGGGATGTGAGGCAAGGAGAGGGCACGAGGCGGGGATGTGAGGCAAGGAGAGGGCACGAGGCGGGGATGTGAGGCAAGGAGAGGGCACGAGACGGGGATGTGAGGCAAGGAGAGGGCACGAGACGGGGATGTGAGGCAAGGAGAGGGCACGAGACGGGGATGTGAGGCAAGGAGAGGGCACGAGGCGGGGATGTGAGGCAAGGAGAGGGCACGAGGCGGGGATGTGAGGCAAGGAGAGGGCACGAGACGGGGATGTGAGGCAAGGAGAGGGCACGAGACGGGGATGTGAGGCAAGGAGAGGGCACAAGGCGGGGATGTGAGGCAAGGAGAGGGCACGAGGCGGGGATGTGAGGCAAGGAGAGGGCACGAGGCGGGGATGTGAGGCAAGGAGAGGGCACGAGGCGGGGATGTGAGGCAAGGAGAGGGCACGAGGCGGGGATGTGAGGCAAGGAGAGGGCACGAGGCGGGGATGTGAGGCAAGGAGAGGGCACGAGGCGGGGATGTGAGGCAAGGAGAGGGCACGAGGCGGGGATGTGAGGCAAGGAGAGGGCACGAGACGGGGATGTGAGGCAAGGAGAGGGCACGAGGCGGGGATGTGAGGCAAGGAGAGGGCACGAGGCGGGGATGTGAGGCAAGGAGAGGGCACGAGGCGGGGATGTGAGGCAATGAGAGGGCACGAGGCGGGGATGTGAGGCAAGGAGAGGGCACGAGGCGGGGATGTGAGGCAAGGAGAGGGCACGAGGCGGGGATGTGAGGCAAGGAGAGGGCACGAGGCGGGGATGTGAGGCAAGGAGAGGGCACGAGGCGGGGATGTGAGGCAAGGAGAGGGCACGAGGCGGGGATGTGAGGCAAGGAGAGGGCACGAGGCGGGGATGTGAGGCAAGGAGAGGGCACGAGGCGGGGATGTGAGGCAAGGAGAGGGCACGAGGCGGGGATGTGAGGCAAGGAGAGGGCACGAGGCGGGGATGTGAGGCAAGGAGAGGGCACGAGGCGGGGATGTGAGGCAAGGAGAGGGCACGAGGCGGGGATGTGAGGCAAGGAGAGGGCACGAGGCGGGGATGTGAGGCAAGGAGAGGGCACGAGGCGGGGATGTGAGGCAAGGAGAGGGCACGAGGCGGGGATGTGAGGCAAGGAGAGGGCACGAGGCGGGGATGTGAGGCAAGGAGAGGGCACGAGGCGGGGATGTGAGGCAAGGAGAGGGCACGAGGCGGGGATGTGAGGCAAGGAGAGGGCACGAGGCGGGGATGTGAGGCAAGGAGAGGGCACGAGGCGGGGATGTGAGGCAAGGAGAGGGCACGAGGCGGGGATGTGAGGCAAGGAGAGGGCACGAGGCGGGGATGTGAGGCAAGGAGAGGGCACGAGGCGGGGATGTGAGGCAAGGAGAGGGCACGAGGACGGGGATGTGAGGCAAGGAGAGGGCACGAGGCGGGGATGTGAGGCAAGGAGAGGGCACGAGGCGGGGATGTGAGGCAAGGAGAGGGCACGAGGCGGGGATGTGAGGCAAGGAGAGGGCACGAGGCGGGGATGTGAGGCAAGGAGAGGGCACGAGGCGGGGATGTGAGGCAAGGAGAGGGCACGAGGCGGGGATGTGAGGCAAGGAGAGGGCACGAGACGGGGATGTGAGGCAAGGAGAGGGCACGAGGCGGGGATGTGAGGCAAGGAGAGGGCACGAGGCGGGGATGTGAGGCAAGGAGAGGGCACGAGGCGGGGATGTGAGGCAAGGAGAGGGCACGAGGCGGGGATGTGAGGCAAGGAGAGGGCACGAGGCGGGGATGTGAGGCAAGGAGAGGGCACGAGGCGGGGATGTGAGGCAAGGAGAGGGCACGAGGCGGGGATGTGAGGCAAGGAGAGGGCACGAGGCGGGGATGTGAGGCAAGGAGAGGGCACGAGGCGGGGATGTGAGGCAAGGAGAGGGCACGAGGCGGGGATGTGAGGCAAGGAGAGGGCACGAGGCGGGGATGTGAGGCAAGGAGAGGGCACGAGGCGGGGATGTGAGGCAAGGAGAGGGCACGAGGCGGGGATGTGAGGCAAGGAGAGGGCACGAGGCGGGGATGTGAGGCAAGGAGAGGGCACGAGGCGGGGATGTGAGGCAAGGAGAGGGCACGAGGCGGGGATGTGAGGCAAGGAGAGGGCACGAGGCGGGGATGTGAGGCAAGGAGAGGGCACGAGGCGGGGATGTGAGGCAAGGAGAGGGCACGAGGCGGGGATGTGAGGCAAGGAGAGGGCACGAGGCGGGGATGTGAGGCAAGGAGAGGGCACGAGGCGGGGATGTGAGGCAAGGAGAGGGCACGAGGCGGGGATGTGAGGCAAGGAGAGGGCACGAGGCGGGGATGTGAGGCAAGGAGAGGGCACGAGGCGGGGATGTGAGGCAAGGAGAGGGCACGAGGCGGGGATGTGAGGCAAGGAGAGGGCACGAGGCGGGGATGTGAGGCAAGGAGAGGGCACGAGGCGGGGATGTGAGGCAAGGAGAGGGCACGAGGCGGGGATGTGAGGCAAGGAGAGGGCACGAGGCGGGGATGTGAGGCAAGGAGAGGGCACGAGGCGGGGATGTGAGGCAAGGAGAGGGCACGAGGCGGGGATGTGAGGCAAGGAGAGGGCACGAGGCGGGGATGTGAGGCAAGGAGAGGGCACGAGACGGGGATGTGAGGCAGGAGAGGGCACGAGGCGGGGATGTGAGGCAAGGAGAGGGCACGAGGCGGGGATGTGAGGCAAGGAGAGGGCACGAGGCGGGGATGTGAGGCAAGGAGAGGGCACGAGGCGGGGATGTGAGGCAAGGAGAGGGCACGAGGCGGGGATGTGAGGCAAGGAGAGGGCACGAGGCGGGGATGTGAGGCAAGGAGAGGGCACGAGGCGGGGATGTGAGGCAAGGAGAGGGCACGAGGCGGGGATGTGAGGCAAGGAGAGGGCACGAGGCGGGGATGTGAGGCAAGGAGAGGGCACGAGGCGGGGATGTGAGGCAAGGAGAGGGCACGAGGCGGGGATGTGAGGCAAGGAGAGGGCACGAGGCGGGGATGTGAGGCAAGGAGAGGGCACGAGGCGGGGATGTGAGGCAAGGAGAGGGCACGAGGCGGGGATGTGAGGCAAGGAGAGGGCACGAGGCGGGGATGTGAGGCAAGGAGAGGGCACGAGGCGGGGATGTGAGGCAAGGAGAGGGCACGAGGCGGGGATGTGAGGCAAGGAGAGGGCACGAGGCGGGGATGTGAGGCAAGGAGAGGGCACGAGGCGGGGATGTGAGGCAAGGAGAGGGCACGAGGCGGGGATGTGAGGCAAGGAGAGGGCACGAGACGGGGATGTGAGGCAAGGAGAGGGCACGAGGCGGGGATGTGAGGCAAGGAGAGGGCACGAGGCGGGGATGTGAGGCAAGGAGAGGGCACGAGGCGGGGATGTGAGGCAAGGAGAGGGCACGAGGCGGGGATGTGAGGCAAGGAGAGGGCACGAGGCGGGGATGTGAGGCAAGGAGAGGGCACGAGGCGGGGATGTGAGGCAAGGAGAGGGCACGAGGCGGGGATGTGAGGCAAGGAGAGGGCACGAGGCGGGGATGTGAGGCAAGGAGAGGGCACGAGACGGGGATGTGAGGCAGGAGAGGGCACGAGGCGGGGATGTGAGGCAAGGAAGAGGGCACGAGGCGGGGATGTGAGGCAAGGAGAGGGCACGAGGCGGGGATGTGAGGCAAGGAGAGGGCACGAGGCGGGGATGTGAGGCAAGGAGAGGGCACGAGACGGGGATGTGAGGCAAGGAGAGGGCACGAGGCGGGGATGTGAGGCAAGGAGAGGGCACGAGGCGGGGATGTGAGGCAAGGAGAAGGGCACGAGGCGGGGATGTGAGGCAAGGAGAGGGCACGAGGCGGGGATGTGAGGCAAGGAGAGGGCACGAGGCGGGGATGTGAGGCAAGGAGAGGGCACGAGGCGGGGATGTGAGGCAAGGAGAGGGCACGAGGCGGGGATGTGAGGCAAGGAGAGGGCACGAGGCGGGGATGTGAGGCAAGGAGAGGGCACGAGGCGGGATGTGAGGCAAGGAGAGGGCACGAGGCGGGGATGTGAGGCAAGGAGAGGGCACGAGGCGGGGATGTGAGGCAAGGAGAGGGCACGAGGCGGGGATGTGAGGCAAGGAGAGGGCACGAGGCGGGGATGTGAGGCAAGGAGAGGGCACGAGGCGGGGATGTGAGGCAAGGAGAGGGCACGAGGCGGGGATGTGAGGCAAGGAGAGGGCACGAGGCGGGGATGTGAGGCAAGGAGAGGGCACGAGGCGGGGATGTGAGGCAAGGAGAGGGCACGAGGCGGGGATGTGAGGCAAGGAGAGGGCACGAGGCGGGGATGTGAGGCAAGGAGAGGGCACGAGACGGGGATGTGAGGCAAGGAGAGGGCACGAGGCGGGGATGTGAGGCAAGGAGAGGGCACGAGGCGGGGATGTGAGGCAAGGAGAGGGCACGAGGCGGGGATGTGAGGCAAGGAGAGGGCACGAGGCGGGGATGTGAGGCAAGGAGAGGGCACGAGGCGGGGATGTGAGGCAAGGAGAGGGCACGAGACGGGGATGTGAGGCAAGGAGAGGGCACGAGGCGGGGATGTGAGGCAAGGAGAGGGCACGAGGCGGGGATGTGAGGCAAGGAGAGGGCACGAGGCGGGGATGTGAGGCAAGGAGAGGGCACGAGGCGGGGATGTGAGGCAAGGAGAGGGCACGAGGCGGGGATGTGAGGCAAGGAGAGGGCACGAGACGGGGATGTGAGGCAAGGAGAGGGCACGAGGCGGGGATGTGAGGCAAGGAGAGGGCACGAGGCGGGGATGTGAGGCAAGGAGAGGGCACGAGGCGGGGATGTGAGGCAAGGAGAGGGCACGAGGCGGGGATGTGAGGCAAGGAGAGGGCACGAGACGGGGATGTGAGGCAAGGAGAGGGCACGAGGCGGGGATGTGAGGCAAGGAGAGGGCACGAGGCGGGGATGTGAGGCAAGGAGAGGGCACGAGGCGGGGATGTGAGGCAAGGAGAGGGCACGAGGCGGGGATGTGAGGCAAGGAGAGGGCACGAGGCAGGGATGTGAGGCAAGGAGAGGGCACGAGACGGGGATGTGAGGCAAGGAGAGGGCACGAGGCGGGGATGTGAGGCAAGGAGAGGGCACGAGGCGGGGATGTGAGGCAAGGAGAGGGCACGAGGCGGGGATGTGAGGTGAAGACAGGGCGTGTGACGAGACGGAAGGAAGGAGAGGGGGATGGTCTGATGAGCTGCTCGCCGTGCTCTTCACACGCTTCCCTCCCTCCTCCCTTGCTTCCTTTCATCCATTTATTTTGCACACGCGCAGACACACATGCCTGTACTCACTTTAACTTGTCTTTGGCCCTCAATGCCCCGTCGCTGCCCACAATGCCCCGTCTCTGCCCTCGCTGTGCCGTCCCCCTGCCATCTCCCTGCACTTTCCCCCTGCCATCTCCCTGCCCTTTCCCTCCCCACTCCCTGCCCTTTCGCTGCCTTCTCCGTGCCCTCTCCCTACCCTCCTTGCCGTGTGTGCAGCAACCAGCGCAGTCACCGCAGGAAATTCTGCAGCCTGTTTGAAACTCTTGCTTCCGCTGCCGTTACTGGCCTTGAAGCCAAACCACCCTTAGCAGCCTTGCCTGAACAGGGCTTGGCCCCCAGTGGTTCGGGCATGTACAGATAATGACTGTACAGACGAGTGCATGCACCACTCCAGTTGAGCTGCAGGGCCACCCCTCACCGCGAGCACTACCATCCACGTGCGCATGTGTGCTGATTAAGTGAATACGGCGCTCGTCTAGCTTCCTGCTGGCTCAATGCTCTGCCCTGCAGTCTCCCAATCCGCCCTTTCCGAGGGAGGTATTTAGCCTGAATAAAAACCAAGGTATCGTACCATATTGAGCTCACATGAAGCTCTAGGATCGCTTGAGAGACAGAGATGCTATTTCTTGATCATTGAAGCTCTAATCCTTGTACGAATGGCATTTCTTGATTGAGCAGTCAAACAACAGTACTCAGCTACACTACAACCTACAGACAGGCCCTATCTCATTTGTACTCTGATCCAAGATCTACACGATACGTGGGCGTGTCATGTGCTGTGAGCCCGTTGCTCTTGAGCAGGGCGGCGCTTGTGGCACAACACACCAGGTACATTCAACACACCGGTACATTCAACACACCAGGTACATTCAACACACCAGGTACATTCAACACACCAGGTACATACAACCACTAAGGTAAGGTGGGCACGCGAGGTAGAGTCAAGAGTGCAAGGGAGAAAGGGGGAAGGATAAATGGTGCTCCATTTCGAATGCTCCACGTGAATTCCTCTCCTCCTCTGCTGTGCTCTGCACCTCGTCCATGCCTGCCATGCCATGTACGCCTTGCCTTGCCCCACTCGGGACACTCACCTCCTGCACTCCACCTGCCCCTCTCCACCGTGTGTCGCCCCTCTCCACCGTGTGTCGCCCCTCCCCTTCCCCCCATGGCGTGGCGGCGAGCAGAGGAGGTGCTGCACGCGGTGGCCAGGGGCGTTGACCTCTTTGACTGCACGTCAGTGCCACCCCTCCCGCATGCATGCACCCCCCCCTTGCATGCACCCTCTTCAAACCTTCCATGCATGTCCGTTTCTGCATGTGCCATGCCGTGCCCGCCCTGTGCCATGCACTATCCGCGCCATGGCATCTGACAAACCTCACCCGTGTCCCCCGCGTGCAGGTACCCCCACGACCTCACCCTCCTCGGCCTCGCCTCCACGCTGCCCCTCCACCCGCCCTGGTGGCCGCACACCGTGGCGCCGGGAGAGGGGGAAGGGTAGGGGGGGACGAAAGAGGAGAGGGATGGGGGGGCAGTGGAGGCGGATGGGGTTTTAAGTGAAGTGGGGAAAGAGAAGGAAGGGGAGGAGGTGTACGGGTCGAAGATGAACCTGCGGTGCTCATCGCACATGTCAGTGCCATTATCACACTACTGTCCCGCCTGGGTAGCTATGCCAGGACCATGCTGTGCCAGGACCATGCTGTGCCAGGACCATGCTGTGCCAGGACCATGCTGTGCTTGCTCCACCATGCTAAACCTGCCTTGCGCCCTCACGCTATGACTTACGCGCAGTCTTCCTTTATTCTTCCCGCCCTCTCTTGTCGGCTTCTCCCACCTGCTCCCTCTCACTTCTTCACTACGTGTCTGCCCTCCATCCGCGCACCCCGTCTGTGGGCGCTACCAGGCGCAGTTTCATCCCCATATCGCGCACATGCGCGTGCTACACGTGCACCCGCCACACGCGCGCCTACCTGCACCACCTGCTGGACGCCCATGAGATGCTCGCCCTCGTGCTGCTGGACATGTGAGTGGCTGTGCTGCTGGACATGTGAGTGGCTGTGCTGCTGATGCTGGTGGTTCTCTTTGCTGCATTGTCGCAAAGCGAGGGGTGAGCCGCGAGGGGTGAGCCGCGAGGGGTGAGCTGCGAGGGGTGAGCTGCGAGGGGTGAGCCGCGAGGGGTGAGCCGCGAGGGGTGAGCCGCGTGGGGTGAGCGGCGTTGGGTGAGTCGCGTTGGGTGTGCTAGGGGGGGGTGTGGCAGGGGGGGGTGTGGCAGGGGGGGGTGTGCCAGGGGGGGGTGTGCCAGGAGGGGGTGTGCCAGGGGGGGTGTGGCACACGGGAGTGAAGTAGCGCTGCCTGGAGTGCTCATGAATGTACCAGTGTGTCACCACTTCCCCGCTCAATGGCCCGCTGGCTGTCCCTGTTCCCACCAACTTGTGCTCTCCTGCTGTTGATTGCGCCATGCACACTCAACAAGTTCGCCCTGCTGCCACTGCGCCTTCCTCTCATGCCTGGCTGCAGTGGCTCTGCAGGGCTGACCCCATGCACGCATCATCCACAGGCTGGTCATTTTTGTCCTCACGGTACACTCTATTCACTGCATGCTGCTGCTCTGCTCTGCGCTCTGCCACCTGCGCCCTTGTTCTGTTGCTTCCTCTTACCCCAACGCAACTCCCTTCAGCCACAACCACCATCACATGCTTCACTTCTTTCAAGTTATTCGGTACGCCATCAGGTTGGGTGTGTTTCAACGGTACAGGGAGTGGTTCGTCCAAGCTAGAGAGGAGGAATCAAAATCAGTACTGCTACAACAGCATGTGCAGAATGCGGCTTAGCGTTGGGCTTGGGCATGTAAGATGAGGCATGGATTCGTGAGCAAGTTGGCATCAGAGCTGTTGTTAGCAGACTCAATTCTGTTGATGATGGCCTTCCAGTTGGGTGTTCTGCGTAATTCTACGCCAAACAGAAATTTTATGTTTCGGGGAACAATTCTTGGTGGTGGTCGTTCGTGGACCACCTTCCACCAGCCAATGGGTTGGGTGGAGGGCTCTCTCCTGTGAAGCAACACTTGTTAGAATACCTGACACATTATCACACAATCTTTTCCTTCAAGCAAATATCATTGGTGCTGTTTCGAAATGCCACCCTCTTCAGCTAGTACCGGTTTGCAGAGAGCTGCTTTTAACATTGCACCATTTGTGGCAGCTTGTCAAGAAAGTGACGCCTACTAAGCAACAAGAACCAGCAAGAGGGCAGCAAAAGAACCTACCGGTATTTAACTAACCACTACTGCACCAATACAGGGTGCATTGAAACATACAACCCGTTAAAGTTAAGACCACTGCCAGCAGAGAGCAAGCTGTGCACACACGGAGCAACACAGTAAGGGGGTTCGACGGCCTTCTTCTGCGGGGCAGGTCGACGAGGTAATCGTCGACTTGCACAAGATTATCGCGAGGCTGGAGCCGTCAACCAGAAGAGATTGACGGTCGCAAGTGACAAGGCTCGTCGACGGGCGGGCCGTCAACCAGGAGGAGCAGCAGTCGACGAGGGGAGCTCGCCGACAGCACCTGCAGTGCCGGTCGACGGAAGGGGTTCGTCGACCAGGGTGTTGCTCAACAGGAGCTATTGTGGACGAGGGAGTCGTCGACCAGAGCACTGGGTGGTCGACGAGCACGTACAAATTCTGGTCACCATGTCCACACCGACATGGTGGTTTCCAGGTCGACCAAGTAACCTGCTCAGCAAGTCCTGCGGAGGCGCGCGAACGTTGTCGAGGTCGCAGTGACGCAGGCGAGTCCGGGCTGGTATCCCGAAGTCGATGTGGCTCTTCAGGCGCAGACAACAGCCGATGGATGCACAACAATGCAAGTCGGGCCAACCATCTGCGCGCACCTGCGAGCGTGCGCACTGATGTCTTCTACGGGGCAATGCTAGACAGCCGCCCTGCTGCAGTGTTGGCACGCCGTCGACTTGCTCTGTTGGCAGGTCGCCCTTCTGCAGTGCTGGCGCGGCTCCTCTACGCAACGCTGGCAGGCGGTTGACCAAGCTGTACTGGCGGTCGACCAGGCTATTTGCAGGGTTGCTAGGTGCCTGATGTAGTCATTTCCTGCATTACTTGTTCGATCATTCTAAAATGCAATATTTGCCTAGTGAAATTGTTGCCAAATCCTCCCGTGAATGCGCAAGCGCTAAGGAACTAAGCAAAACTAAGATCAAAGGGCCACAAATGGCCAAAAAGCCAGTCAATGAGATAGTATATGTGTAGGTAGAGTCACAAACAGTACTAGACACAAAGATAATGAAACTAGCAAGTAAGAACCGTCCTCGCCACGATTGAGATCCATGTCGGTGCTGTGGTTGCGTAGGAATCTGCCCTCTTTTCTCATTGACCTATGTGAGCCACCTTTCTTTGCCCTTTTCCTGTTCGCTGATGTCAGAACCATGATCCTCCTACGTCTGGAGCCTCAACTTGAGGGTTGGGCAAAGCATATTGACCTGTGGTACCTGACGATGAGCGCGTCGACTTCATGAGACAACTTTAGAACCGATTCTAAAACTGTGAACTCTAAGTCTCGTCCCTGTAAGCCACGACGCATCAGTATGCCTGGTGAGTCCGACTGGCTATCGTCCTCCAAGCACAAGTCATATGACTAACGTGCTCGTTTGGTAGCGTCACAACCCCTTCAGAGGAAGACCAGTGGATGAGTCGGTGTCTCCCAGTCACAGCAACGTGAGCAAGGATGTTGAGCGAATATGCAAAAGTAGGGTGAGTACAGGTTATCAGATGTATGAGGCTCCCCGCCAGCTCTCTGTACAGGCCACTAGGCTCAGTAGACTTGTCAGGGCGGAAGCCAAAAGATTATGGTCGACAGCAAGAGGAGTGGGCTGTGGAGAAGAGCGTTGAAGGTTGAACTGCTCGAGAATCTGCTGCCACCATATGTGATTGAGTCTGTGTGATCGTGCGTGCTACTCTGTTTTAGGTGATCGGCCAGCCAAGATAGTGGTACAGCTCACCTAGGTCAGTGCAGCTGTGTCTCCTCTATAGCTCTGCCTTCGTTGAGGCCAGTACGGCTGTATCGCGATTAGCAAAGATGAAGTCGTCGATGTAGATAAGGATGTGGAACGACATTGAGCTAATGAAGAGATAAGGGTCAGCAAAGGACAGAGAAAAGCCAAGGGCAGTATGAGTAGTATGTAACGTGTCATGCCACTCATGTAGACTGGCCGCTGAAGGCTCCAGTTGTTACCAAGAATGAATGACCCAGTAAAACTAGGACGGCGGCAGACTAAATCTGTTCATGCATGCTGTCCTGGAGGATGGCCGTGGAGGAGTCTAATGAGCGAAGCTTGTAGTCACACTGTACCACGATGTGCAAAAACACCTAAAGAATTATCATTTTCAGGGTTGGGGAGAAGGTTTGGAGGAAATCCACCCCCTCTCGTTGACGAATTCTTTCCAAGTAGTGTGCCTTGAAGACATGCGGTGATTCGGGTAGCAATTTCACCTTGAAGATCCACATGTCATAGACTACATTCACCATAGGAGGGGGGAACGGCGTTGATATAGGTGCATGTGGACCTAATGCTATCTCTTTGTCCGTGGCTGCTATCTTCTGAGAAGCTCAGGATCCTGAGACTCCCTTAGCATAGGTATGAAAATTTTGGATATCGAGAGCATTGGGCCACCCTCAGGGGCTAGTAGCATGGCACATTGTAAGGAGCATCGGCTGCAAGGAAAGTCACCTTCAATTGACTGCCCTCAAAGACGTCGTTGCCAAATGCAGGCGCACTCCCGACGAACAATGGAATGGCAGATTCAAAGACCAGCAGAGCGACATAGTCAAGGCAGTGGGTGGAGGCAAAGTCGAAGGAGGAGCTAGAGCAGAGACAGTAGACGGAGGAGAAGTAGGGTCAGTGGCAAGGGAGGAGAGGATATGGAAGATTGTTGTGCGAATGCTATGGAGGTAGTCAGAGAATGGGAGAGGAGAGGCTGAAAGAGACGGTGAAGGGGGTAAGATTGTAAGTAGAGGAGGGACATATGGAGGGAGAGAACGGGGGGTCAAAGAATGGAAACTAGGAACTGGAAACAAGGGACGAGCACTAGGGGCACGACGAGACCTGGGGGGGGGATGCAAGGAACAGATCAGGAAAGAGAGGAGGGGACAGTAGAAAACAAGGAGGGAAACGAGTCAAAGATGAGTCCAGGAGAGGCAATGTGAGGGAGGAGGGAAGATTGGCTCTCGAAAGGTAAGGAAAACCAAGAAGGCTATGATTGCTGCTGCTGCCGTTGCTGTGGCTACTGCTGTGAATGCTACGACTACTGCTGC